CTTCGACAATGGAACCCCTGTTGCTTCCTGCCACCTTAGGGTTACGGCCGCTCACCGAGACTGATCTTCCGGTTCCATACCCAAAGGTGCCAGCCGCGAAAGCTAGGCTCCTTTGATTTTGATCCGCCGTCTTCACCGGTGATTGTGAGCCAGATTTTGGCCTTGTGGCTGCTGTTCGGCCGTGTGGCACGCTTTGAGCCCGGCTTCGGCTGTTCGGATCTTGTAGCCGTTCCTGCAAGTCCGGAGACTGAGTACCGGCAATGGGGCTGCCGTCTAAAGCTCGGTCGTGGCCATCAGGATCGTCGGAGCTTGGCATGTCGGTGGATAGTTGAACTCCTGAAGCCGTCGAAATCATTCTAAAAGGAGGGTGCTGAGAGGGGTGGTTGGTCCCAAAACCAGGTTCAGGAGAGGAGAGAGCCCTGGTCCTGCTAAAAGTAGAGGTGGAAGAGCTAGCAAACCCTTCAGGAGTTATCGCGTACTGAATTGTCTCGGTCCTCCCGTTCTGTTCAGCTTCCAAGTTTCTCGTCAAAGGAGTTAAGCTATCCTCCCCACCCCGCTCTCCCACCCCGATTCGCCCTCGAGCAGGGCTGGTGCTCCGATTCCTGCTACTGCCCCTGCTCCTGCTCCTGCTTCTGCGACTTGGGTCAGTGTTCTCGTATGATTCACCGGTAGTTCGACGAGAGGGTGCGTCTGTAGTGCTACCGGGGCCGCCAAGATCCCCCCGAATGCTAGCCTTGCTCGATCCGAAGACGTCACCAAAGGTTTGGTTCGAGCTGTCGCTTGGAAATCTGTTCACCCCAAGCCCGGGCCCTGAATCGATGTCGCTTGTTTCAAGGGGCGGCGTATAGAAGTTTTGATCTTGTGAGGCGAAAGAGGACATGTGGACTGGTGGCCCAGGTCGAGCCTGAAGAGTCTCGCCCTTCTTCCTCCAATCATTGGCCAGCTCGATGGTTCGGTCAGGCGTGCTCGCCTTTGAAGGGAGTCTTGATAAATCTTGTCCCAAGCATCCGGAGACTTCTTGGCTAGCCTCGGCTTGCGTCGCTGCGGTCAGGATACTTCCGGCAACGGATCTTCCAAAAGTACCGATTGAAACATCGGTTTCTTCAGCTAGCTCTCCCCGGTCCCGTGTTTTACTGGCTTCAGACGGTCTTGGACTTTCCAGGCTGGATCGTTGCTCGCCACTGTAGAATTGCCTCGAAATGCCCTCCGCTTCCCTCACGTTCCGTCGAGCTCCCTGCTCAGAAGATTCCGCCTCAGTGCCATGGCCAATGTCGACGCCTTCGACTATGGCCATGTTTCTCTTTCAGGGCCTTTGTGCTGATCCACTGTGCCCTGCTGGATGGGCACGGAACCGACGTCTTAAGAGCTGAGTCCTCCTTGCGACTTGAACAGTGATCCGGGCATACGAGAAGCAGGAAAGGTGGTGCCAAGCGTCTGTGAACGGCAAATCGAAAAATAAAGCAAAATAAAAGAGGTTGGGGGCCAGCCACCAGGCTCGGTTTTGCAGATTTATGGGTGTTGGGGAAGTAAGGTACTAGATTGAGAGACCTGGCGCATAGAATACTTGGAGAATGAGGTCCTCCAGCAGACCCTCTAGGTTTTCGATTATGGACAGAAAGGTTCCACCTTCTATTCTTCTCCTGGTCGAAAAGTTACGATAGGAAAGATGGGGTTGGTGGTGATCGAGATAAGGCCAGTTTCCGTTTACAAGGGACTAGTAGCAGTTGGAGGATTGAGGGTGAGATTTTACGAAGGAGTCGACCTTTAGATCAATCGCAACTTTCAAGATGACCCACCTTAAGGTTAGGAGGAGGAGATATCTAGAAAAGAAGAAGGGGAAGAGAGCGAGGGGAGGGGGGAGGTAAAATACTCCGGCAAATGATAGGGGGGGCCCTGTTCAAGGTATCCTGTTGCCGTCGATGTGGCGGAGAATGGGAGCAGAGCAAGGCTGGGCAACTGAGAGCGAAGAGATGGGCGAAGAAGAAGTAAACTCTTTGCGGGATATGGAAGCAATGTTATCCCGTTGCGAATCCAGACGGCGAAGTAAGAGGGAGACGGGACTAAGGGCCAAAGAAGAATATTGCAAGAGAAAGGAAAAGGTGAGGAAACGGAAGGGCAGCCAGTCCGGCGGAAAGGGAAGCCGACCAGGGTTGTTTGGACTGAAGGTGAGAAGAAGGGCAGGCGTCGAAGAAGAAGAGGGAGATGAGGGAGAAAGGATGGGAATCCAAGGAACTGTGAGGGATGGGTGAAAGGTTTGGGAAAGAGAGGAGGACTCATGACGGTTACGTCTCTGGGAGGAACGAGCAGGAGAGGAGGAGAGAATTCAGGAAGACACACTTTTTTTCACACTCGTATCCACCTTGATGATGAAGAGGGAAAGGGAATAACATGTGTGATTCCCCTCCCTCTCCAGCTCAACTCTGTCCAGTCACAGCCACATGGGAAGAAGACGCGAACTGATGAAATGATAGTTGTTGGAAGTAGTAGTTAGTAGTGAGCGGTTTGCAGCTTTATCCATCAGTCACCAGTGAGAAAACCGGTGGGTGATTGTGAATGTGAGAGAGCCAGAAGAGTCACAAGTGTGAGTCTGAGTGTTGGTGTTGGTGCATTCCCTGAAACAAGCAAATCCCTTGTTTACGTTTCGAAAATCTTCCTCTTCCCTCCCCCGGTCCCTCTTCCCCACTCCACCGAGGCGGGACGCGCGGCGATCAGGCCCCCACCCAACCCTACAAAGAATGGGGGATTGTATCACTCATGACCGCTCTTGTCACAACAAACGTACTCGGACAGGCACTGTCAAATGGAAAGGTTTGGGTTTGGACTCTCTCCCTCCTCTCCCTCCTCTCCCTCCTCTCCCTCCTCTCCCTCCTCTCTCTCCTCTCTCTCCTCTCTCTCCTCTCTCTCCTCTATCCCTTCTCTTCTCTCCCACCCTCTCCACACGCTTCCCAGAAACAGGTTGGAATTCGGATAGGAATAAGAAGCCAGCGTGGTTCATGCGACGCAGAGACCAACACTTGGAATCGATCGCTCGCACGCTAAAATCAGCTATTTAGCTCCACGCTTCGCAACGCTTACCACATAGAATCACATCCCAAATCTGGAAAGCTCCCGTTGTTTTGCATCGTCTTGCTCTGATTTGTTTTGGTTTCCCTATTCTTTGCTCCATCTCTTTTCTTTTTCTTTTAGGGAGTCGAATTCAAAATTGGCGACAAAGCTAAAGTCGCCTCTTCCCTCCCTCCCTCTCTCTTTCTCTCTCCCCTTGTCGCTCTCGCTCCGCCTCCCTCCGTTTACGTTGTAACCCGGGGACAGTTGCTCACAGCACGGACTCGGTGCCACTACGGGAGTGAAGAGCTCGCCTTGGTTTCACCGCGAGCTGCCTGAAGGTGAAAAAAACCAGAGTTAAAGAAAAGAAGGGAAGGGAAGGAAGAAAGGAAGAAAAGGGGGAATGAAAAAGCAGACTCCATTCCCGTGGTGGATTCGCGTTCAAGTTCGCTCTGCGTGTACCGCATCGACATCAAAGTTTCGAAACTTGGGTGGAGGAAGGCAGGATGAGATCACCATGGTCATGGTGGTACGGGGGATGATGCGTCGCCCTTCTCGCCACTCACTCTCGCCTTATTCCCCTGGCCGGTTGACCGCCACCCGAACTCTCGTCTCAAAGGAGGCAAGGCTCTTGCTTTTTCCAACCTGTCCTTCCCTCAAAAGCTACGAGGCTAACTGTATGTTCACAAGCTCGCATTCAATCCTCGCTCCCGTCTGTCTTCCAGCACCAAGGACAAACAAGGATGGATTTTTCTTGCCTTCAAACTGTTACCTCTTGGCCTCGACAGACGGCCTTGCAAAAAATTGATCCGAAGATGCAAGGTGCAACCACGCAACGCAGCGGCCATCCCACGCCTCGTCCCCCTTACCCCTTCTCCCCACCCCCTTTTTTTATTCCCCGCTGAGGCTGCAGGGTCCTGCCCCCATTCATTTTGTTAAAGTGGGAATCCGATCACGATTCTGATTGCTTTCTTTCGAACGAACAACGTCCTCATGCTGACCAAGAAGCGTGCTACCCCCCTTCCATCCTGGCTCCGTCTCTTTGCTGGCAAGGTCGGCGACAACCTTGATGGTGGATGTTGAAAGGAGTAGGAACGATCGATCATCATCGGGAGGCTTATAGTGAGTGGCGGTAGCGCTGCCCTGAAAACCTATGCCGACGATCAACCAGCCACTTTCAAAATGGACTACCACCAACACCATCTTGGATGGATCTCCCACCTCGGCCTTTCCCTCATTCACCCCAACCTCGAATCGAACGAAAACCTCGCCTGGGTTACACTCCCTGATCTCATTTTTTTTCTTCCTTCTTCGTCAGAGGATCCCAACACAGCCTTCTCTGCTACCCACTCGGAGAAAGTCAACTTCTCTATGTATTACGCGACCCTCTTCACCCACCTCATACAAAGTTACCCAGTTGACGTGCTGGATCACGTGAGCGCAAGAGCAAGGGGAGTCTCGAGCTTCTTTCTCGGAAGACCCCACCGAGTCGGCAAAAAAAAGGACTTTCCACCTCCCCTCCCAAACCAACCGGACCAAGTGTTCTCTGCTCTACGCTAGTTCAGTTCCTGACTCCATTATCGACCTCTGCCTACGTCATACCCAAACTTGCCGAAATCATCTCCTCTCCCAACCGAGCTCACCCCACTGAGTTGTGAAAGTCCAAGTTTGGAAGCTCTCGACCAACCTCCCCTTCTCCGGCGTGACCCCACTTTTTTTTTAAATATTCACCGAGGTGATGGTACTGGATCTCTCCCAGTCTCCGAAACGGCACAGCCTCCTCTTCAGCTAGCTTCATGAAGTGACCGAGTAAGCAAGCAAGAAGCGTGAACGAGCCTAGCTTCATGTAAACTTTTCCCTACTTACTTGCTGTGCCACCTTCACACGCCATGCAGATTAGGGGAGGAGGGGGGGGATGAGTACGGTGAAAGTGGCGAAAAATTTGAAAAAAAGTAAAGCTTCCGGTCCGGGAATTGAACCCGGGTCTGCGCCGAGCGCACTTGAACATCAAATGACAAGGCGCCGTCATAGCCACTAAACTAACCAGAATGCGATTACTTCTAAGTGTCACATATCCAAACAATTAAAAATATCAAAGAAACGCATTTTTACCATACACCCCTTTGTATACGTTGGCACAGGTTCATGAACACAATCATATTGCGTTTTGGAGGCGCGTGCTCAAGTAACGAAAGTAGTGGAGGGTGGGTGAGAGAAAGGAAACGAGGATAAATTACAAAACAGGAAGAACCTGGCAGGTCGAATGGTTCAAATCCACACTTGGAATCGTACAACGAGCAAACGAGCATCAGGCAGGGACTCTGAAGCGTCCGCCCTCGGCACTCTTTCTTTCGGAATAATGCTTTTGGGTGGGCTAATCACGGAATGGCAGCGAGACCAAGAGAGGCCCTGTAGGCGTTCACCTTCTTGCTCATCATGATCAAGGTCCTTCTCAGATTGTCGTCCTTCTCTTGAGCGTTGCTGTACTCGTACTTCATCTGGAGAAGCCTGTCGGAGGCTTGGTTGATATCCGTCATGATCGGGCACTTGTTGATGAAGTGGAAGCTACCCAGGCAGATCAAGCATTTGTTCGAGCCTGCCGCCGATTTCCTTCCCACTGAAGTCGATGATGGGTTGCCGCCGCCAACCTGGGCAGGAAGGGAGGAGGTAGGCGTGAATGCCATTGGGGAAGATCTCGCTTGGTTGAACGCCGATGAAGGCGTCGAAGTGGCGTAGCTTGGCACAGGAGGCCTGACCGCACCGTTGTTATTGGTGACCGATGTCTGGACACTCGGACCAGGGCCGAGTGGCGAAGGGATCGATGTACTAGGCTTGGATGCAGGTCTTCCCCTCTTCTTTGGACCGATAACGCCCATGGAAGGCGATTCAGGTTGGGCTACGACTGAATGCGCATTCAAAGGAGTTTGGTGAGTGGCCAAACCGACCACCGAAGGAGTCGACGATCCTGAAGAGATCGACCAGGGCCGAGTCGGAGTGCCTGCTGGAATGCTCTGAGCCGAAGCTGCCTTCTCAGCGTCCCTCGCGGCTTTCTCGGCGTCCTTCTCCGCCTGCTTTGCAGCTTTCTCGGCATCTTTCTTGGCTTTCTCAGCGGCCTTCTCAGCGACCATTTCGGCGGCCTTTTCGGCAGCTTTCTCCTTGGCCTCATTTTTCCTCTGCTGGTTAATCAGGGCTACTCTAGTCACGCTAAGCTTGTTCATCTCATGCTTGGAGAAATGGGCCCTGGCGGGACTTCCGGGATTGAGAGGGTGGGCTGCTCGCAACTGTGACAGAGTCGGGGTGACGGCGTTGCCAGGTTTTGCCTTCTTCCGAGGGGAAGAGGATGGAGACTCGCTTCTAGGACTTTCCGTCGAATCCCGCTTCCCGCTCAGCGCAGTCGTGGAAGGAGTTGCAGGGGCCCCGCTAGGCTGACTAGCATTAGCCTGCTGCCGTGCTTGGGCTCCCGATCGGAATTCAGTCAATTTCTTTTCGACAGCTAGGACCATTTCGGCCCTGGTGGTAAGATTGCTTGTGACCAAAGTCACTTCAGCAGCGAGATTGAGATGAGTGTTGCCGAAGGCATCAACCTTTTCCTTCCACCTCTTCAAGGCTTCGGGGTCGACAAGTAATTTTACCACCTCTTCCTTTGTCATCTCGATCGGCGTCGTGGTAGCGGCTGGTGGCGGTGCCGAGGAAGCTACCTGAGATTGTCCTGTGCTTGGCGATGGGGCCGATCCCTCACCTGCCTGCGGCGCTGGCACCGTCGGTGCTGCTGGTTCAGGCCCGGAGACATGCACGATCGAGGGGGAGCGTGCTTTGATGTTCGCCGCGTTCGATACCAAAGGGACGCGCGGTGTTGCTTCTCTGGCCGAGGCTCTGGCTGCAGCCTTGGCAGCTTCCTTTTCCGCGGCGATTCTCTTGGCATAAGCGGCTTTCTTTTGCTCGGTTGAAAAGTGCATGCAAGCAAGGAACATGTAAAAAGCTGTGCGAACGAGGATCTCTTGAACCAAGTCTGCACTCAACGCCACGGCTCCCCCGTAGGGCAATGCACGGATTTCAGGTGGGATCGATTCCTCTGGGATGATGTTGAAGGCTTGCGGGAAAAGCACCAGAGGGATGTGAAACACCGAGGAAAAGTAGTGGGCATGGGTCATCGTCAACTGATGAGACATATGTGGTGGAGGCAGCTGGTGAGGGGCTCCGCGGCTCGCTCTTCGCTTGATTTCTTCCATGTACTTTGGCGGCATCGCCTGAAGGATGGTCCCGAAGAACACGGCTTGCTCCTTGGTGACCTCTGTGACAGGCCTGGATCCGTCGAAACGTGGCGGGACGATAAGATTTGCCGCATTTGCTTGTCCGCTAGCGGCTGCGCTCGATACTTGTCCCGGAGCTTGAGCCTGGTTCAGGGCCTGTGGCGCAGCTTGGACGCTGTTCGTTCCCATGTTGAAAGGGATCTGGTAAGCACGGACACCTTTGGACCGAGCGGCCTTCTTCTTCTCCCTGAGGTCGGAGATCGACTCGGCCACAGTGCTTCCATCTTTCACCTCTTCGTCCGTGTCGGAGCCAGAAGGTGCGAGTATGAAATCAAGGTCCTCATCTGCATCGTCAAGGCCTTTCTTTCCTTTGCCCTTCTTGATCTGCTTCCCTTTTCGCTCAGCTTTCGGACTGGACTCATTGTCAGATACAACCTGCGCGGGGACGAACAAGAAAGTGCCGGCCAAGTGTTCGCCATTCAATAATTTGAGTTTTGTTGTTGGGGTTGGTGAGGAAATCAAGCACGCCTGTCAGTACGGACACGGAAGCATTCTGGAACGCAGTTTGCGAAGGTCTACGCGAGAGCGGTTTGGCACTTACAAGACCGGAGGACTTCATGGTAGCTTTCCTCTTGCGTCGACCCGACAACATTTCGGCCTCTTCCTCCGCCTCCTTCTTTTTCAGCGCCTTTCGGTGATTCTCCAGAAGATCGGCCCAGAAGTCATCATCCACCGCGGTCATTCCAGGGATGGCTGGCTGTTCCGGCTCAGCGACTTCCTTCTTCTCCCAAACGCGAGCGAACGAGAACCTTCCATCCGATCCTCCCTCTTTGCGGCCATTGATCTCGAACGTCTCGTCTTTCTCGCTTCGATCAAGGAGTGCATCCAGGTCCTCGTCCGTATACTTGATGTCCTTCTCGTTCTCCTCTAGACCTCCCTCATCGAAGAGGGCCTGAGCACCAAATTTGAGAATGCTCTCGAGCGTCTCTGGTCGATCCTCTTCATTGTTAAGGTTCTGGACGATGAGGTGGTCGAGGACCATTTTCTTCTTGGCAGTCTCGATGATCTGTTCCTCGGCTGTCCCCTTCAAGATCAAAGTGAACACAAGCACCTTCTTCGTCTGGCCGATGCGATGAGCTCGAGCGATGGCCTGCATATCGACGTGGGGGTTGAAGTCTGGGTCGAATATGATGACCGTGTCAGCCGTGGCGAGGTTGATACCGACACCTCCTGCCCTCGTGGAAAGGAGGTAAATGAAGTACTCTGAGTTCTCCGCGTTGAAGGCGTCAATGCCCTTCTGCCTCTGCTTGGTCCCGACGCTTCCGTCTAGTCGAAGGAATTTATAGCCTTCTTCCTCAAGGAAACCTTCGACAATGTCGAGGTTTATGACAAATTGAGAGAAAAGAAGTACCCTGTGGCCCCTTGCTTTGAGTTTGGGGAGGAGGCGCTGCAAGAGGCAAAGTTTTGCGCTTGCGTCAACCAATCTCTGGTGCTCCCAAGAAGCCTCGTATCCCGCCTCGCCCTCTTTGGTCTCAAGGTCGGGGGCGATCAAGTAAGGATGCTGGATGCACTTTCTTAGCTGCATGAGAACGTTGTTGAGGTTGGTGATTGCCGCCTTCTTCTTCCCCTTGCGCATGTTTTTGCCTTCTGACAGAGCTTGGATATCCTCGATGTTGTTCTCTAGTATAGATCTGTAAATCCTCTTTTGAATCGGGCGCATCGAGGACGGTACGATCAGTTCTGTCTTCGGGGGAAGATCCAACACCTCGGCTTTGATTCGTCGCAGGAAGTATGGCTTTAGCCTCGGCTGCAGCTCCTCGATCAATTCCGGCGTCAAGACTTCGTATCGCTTCTTCAACTCCTTGATCTCTTTCCACTCTCCACCAGGTTGGAGCCAATTCAAAAGGTTGAAGAGCTCCCCGATGTTGTTGTTCAGAGGCGTGCCAGTCATGATAATACGATGCTCAACTTCGAGCTCGTTCAAGCGATGGAATAGGTGCGATTCGCCGCTCTTGAGATTCTGGCCTTCGTCGACGATCAGCATCTCCCACCTTCCAACCTTTCTCAGGGGAAGTGAGTCCAGCCTTACCGAAGAGTCCGAGGCGACCACTACGTGCGCTTTGATCCGAAGGCGTCTTGGGTCTTGGCTGTGGTGGAAGAGCTCGTACTTTTCGATCGTTCTGCGTGCGTCGGACTGACCAAAATAGGGCACAACCCTCAAATGGGGCAACCACTTCTCAAACTCACGCAGCCAATTCGTGATTGTGGAGTTTGGCACTACGATGAGCACTGGTGATGCCTTGTGCTCTTCCCAGAGAGAGCCGATGAAGCTGATGACCTGCACAGTCTTTCCGAGGCCCATTTCATCGGCGAGGATCCCAGGTTGTTTGCAGTGCCACCCGTAGCGAAGCCAGTTGACTCCCTCAACTTGGAAGTCAAGCAGAGTTCCTCCTCGGATGCAATCGGGCTGGTCGGCTAAAGCGACGAACGGCGTCCGATCGCGCAACTCTCTTTCACGGAGCTGCTTCACTGTGAGATTCGGAATGGCTATCTGGCGGGCTGACAGGAAAGCCTTGTACGCGCGCAAATAGTCGTCGAAGATGTCCGATTCGCTCCTTCTGGTCGGAAGAGTTTCCCACGTGCCTATGCGAGCAGAGGAGGGACAGGGTCGCCATAAAGGGGTGCGTGGGGGGAGTTGGACTTTGGGTCTGCGACAGCGCTTTAACGTGTAGATAATTTTTTCAAAATAGCAACAGGTGAGTACTTACACCTCTCATAACCAAGATCCTGCCACTTGAC